ACTTTGCGGGATCGATTTCGAGGAGTTGTTCTACCCCTTTTGATTTTATTTAATAAAATCTATTTTCACATTTTAATTAATCAATGTGGATGCAGATAATTAAGCTAGATTCGCAATGGGTGTATTCGTTTACGCAGTACTGCAAGCAGAGCATCCAGAGCAGGACCTCCGAAGTACCTGCGCAGATGAGATACATCCCTGCGTAAACGAACGACAAACTGCGCTGCAGTTATTTTCGCAGGCGGAGTAAACGAACGACATCTGCGGCAGTAACTGCATAAACGAATGCACCCAAATACATTGTTATCGTTAAAGTGTATTCGTAGTGCTTATTTCATCCCCTCCGATCATCGGATCTCGTGGGCATCCTCATCGGAGCGGCTAATTAAACTCAGCCCACAAGCCTTATCGGCGGCTCGATTAAAATTACTGCCATGTGACAAAAATGTGACAGCCAGATTAATTTTTTTTATATCTATGACATCTTAAAATCTGTGCTGATATCTTTGCCGCCAATTTACCAATTATTTTACATATGCAGTCTTTACACAGAAAACACAGGCTCAATGCAAGTACACTCAATGTAAATTTGTTATAATGTGTTGACTAGATCTGAAACTTACGATTCTGTGCTGTATTGCTTTTTGTTTCCTTGTATTTTTTCTACAAGATATTATATAAAAGCGATGATAATCATGAGTACTCATAAATATCTATGTTTTCTATAATTATGGCCTTTTTTCTCTCTCTTATTTTTGTCTCTTCAAAGCATGATATACTTTTTGTTTTAAGTAACCAAATGCAAAAAAGAACAGCTAAACAAAATATATTCTAATTCTTATTAATCAAATTAGCAATTATTTAGCAATTAAAATCAAGTCTTATTGCAATGATAAATTTAATTCATCGTTTAAACTTTACTTTCGCAATAAGTTCAACACCGGCATTAAATTTCTTATGCGCACATACGTCAATGCCTGATGTATGTATATTTATTCTCAAAAAAATGATTACGCACTTCGTCTGTTTCTTTTGATACGTGCAATTTTTAACCTTATTAATTTATTTATATATGAAACGCAATTAAAGAATAGTTTAACCAAATTCTTTTCCTCCTTTTAACATCAATGACAGACATTTACAATATTGTAATTTTTTATGTAACTTAAAAGAAAGTCAATTTATTTCGTAAGATTTTAGTAAAGTTTAATTTAAGTTCCGAATTGCTTTTTAAAAACAATTTGGAATATAACTTTCAAATTTTACGAAATTACCTTGTTATTCCTTCCTTTCAGTCTATTTATTTAATCATGTTAATTTATTCATGTCTGTTTTCTTAGAGGAATATAATAATATCGGGACAATGTCTTCGAAAACGATTCTACTGATTCTGTTGTCATTCACGATTACATCGAAAGGCTGCAGTTTCAATAAGCATAGTAGAAGGCAGACACTTCAAAGCGACGACAAGTGCGTGTGTTCCACCGCGGTTCATTATAATCCTTTGACGGATTCGAATGCCACCGTCGATCCTCATTGCGATTGCGACTCGTCCGGCTTCGGAGTGGTGCGGACGATCCCGTACAGTTGCGTTGCAGGTGATTGCGACAGGATACGCATAGATCTGTCCTCTGCGTGTGTCAGATGCGGCATGTGTATAGCTATCGCCGAAGAGGTTTGCAAGATCTTAAACATTTTAAACATTTTTATAATAACAAAATATAAAAATGTAATAAAATAAGATATTATACAAGTACTAGTTTTTTATACAAAGCTATGTATTCTTCCTACAATCTGCTCTCAGATTAATCAGACTCTGTTAGACGCTTGCTATATAATGATATTTGACGATCGATTGAACGATAAGGCTGAACTTTTCTTAAGAGCTATCTGTGACCACTCTTTTCGACAGTAAGAAACGCTCCGTTTTCGTATAATTTCGCGCAAAGCTCTTATTTGTTAACACAGCATCGTAATTCTTACAGTTATAGTTTGCGAGAAATTAACGGCATACGATTCATCTCGAATCCGCTACCTGGTGATAAGCTTATCACTTCGTCCGCCGATGGATTATGGGAGAAAAAGTAAGATTCTAATATAAAAGTTTAAATAATGAGTTTATTGCGTCGTAGAGCAATCGCGCTGCAAAATAATGGAAAAATTAAATTTGTATGTAAAGAAGAAAGTTGAATGCAGAAAGAATTTCATAAAGTTGCATTAGTTATTTTATATACTAAATAATTTCGATTTATAGTACTTTAATTAAGATATCTTTACAGCTTGAGAAGTACGTGTCACGATTATCTCGATGAGCTCCAAGAATTACAATTGTATAGAAATTGGAGGGAATTGTGCGAGGATGACGAGCGTGCTCTTAATCTGGAAGATGTCTTTTGCAGGTAACTTTTATTTTTATCTTTATTTTAATCTGAAGATTAAGAATCGATGTTTGTCGCAGGAACGAGATTAGCGGCTTACGAGACTGCAGAGGTATAGATAACATACAAAAACGACAACTACCTACAAATATTTTCGCTGATACTCGCCGAGAGATTTTCGAGAAATATATACATAATATTTCTAGATGACCGTTTATAATGTATTTTTGATTATGTAAAAAATATTATCAAAATATATTATACACACATTGCTGTTTAGCATAATGACATTTTTAGTGACTATTTGAATCTTAATTACACGATTATATTAAATCTTGCGAACATGTCTAACATAATGTGTACATTGTAAAACTGAAAAATTACCTAGAAATATGACAGACGTCGTCGCACAATTGCGTAAAGTATTTCCATGATTAGTGACTAGAATATCCCGCATAAAAAATCCCGATTAAAAAGGGTTTAAGATTACGGAACAGCATTTAATCGTGGAATGGAAAAACTCGGTTGATCTCCGCGTTTGAAGACGGTGTGATTTTCTCTCTCATCTTCTTCTTGGATAAACCTGAGAAGGAAGCCCAGGACGCTCTCTTGAGACCTGCTGATCTTCGCCGCACCTGAAAACGCGGTTCCGCACCCCTCGACTTCTCGAAAGGCAAAGCATCGTGGTCCTGAAGACCAACGAATGATTGCACCTGGCGAGCGTGGTCCTGCAGGATGGTCAGGTAAGCGGGATCGTAGCCGCGCAATCCACCGGCCGGAGGAGCGGCGTTCTGATGATCGTTGGCGCGATCGTGATGATGATGATGAAAATGGATATGCGGTATCAGATGATGCTGGCGTATACCGCGCATGATGGTCTCTTGCATCTGCCTACGTTTATTCCATATCCTCTCGATGATGCCGATGGAGATCGCCGTGAGCAAACCCGCCACCAGGAGAAAGAACGCGGAATAAACGTCGGCGAGTCTCGCACTGTGAAAAGCCGCCGACGCTGCGCATCGCGGCATCGTCGGCAACATCCGTTCTTGTATTTTATCCAGGACGCCGCTTTCGTATATGCGTAATATACTGCAAGCAGTTCGGAAATAGTATGACTTGCGGATCCAAATTTGTAGTTCTGAGCTTTGAGACGCAAATTTGATAACAATTATTTTTTAATTTTAAAATAATTTTTGAAATAATTTTATTTGGTGTATGTGGGTGTGTTTAAAACGTATTTTTTCAATGCCATATGTGTTGTAATTTGTTAGCTGTTATTGGTCATGTAAAGAGAATTTATATTTCAAGGATGTATATTTGCAATTCTTTATTTAAGAAACGCCTCCTATCAATTTATTCATTTATTTTTGAACAATGGACTTGTTAATCAAATAACACATGGTGATAAATAATGTTTTAAAACTTTCTGCAATACGAAGAATGATTAGATATTTTTAGACATACTTTAAACACACGCGTGTTGTCTGCGCAGTAATTTATTATAGTTTCGAAAAATGAAGAGAAGATGATCTATTATTGTTTTTTATTTTAGTTATCTATTGTGAATATCGAAACTTTGCTTATTCATACACACTTGAGATTGATGATCTTTCTGTACGGGCAGCTTTTGGCCATCGGAAGAGCGACGACTGTAAGCGTCTGCGGAAGTAGAAGCTCCTTTAAAGTGCATCGCTCTTGTATAAAAGTCGTTTGGAGAGCTCGTCGTGCGATAGTCGCGCTGACAAAAAATCCGTATCGCCCTTTGACAGCTTTCATAAGACCTGTCGTTGTTTCCAAGCGGGATTCGCGATTGTTGAACGCTTTTATGTACAATTGACGGAGATTACTGTCGTTCGCATTCTAAAGGATAGACACTCAAAATATTAGCATACCAAATCCAAAATCCAAATGTCTTCTAGATATTCGTGTCTTGTAAGATGGGTTAAAATATTAATACAATAAATAAAATGAAAATAATACAACAATAATAACAATATTAATCATACTCTTATGTATGCATCGTCGGCGATACTGTATCCTAGCTTGAAGTTGTTAAAGAGAAGATCGTTAATCGATCTGATACCAGTTGCTTGCACCGACAGAATAGAAGTGATGAAGCCGGCATAGGCGTTATACATTACAAGGGAAAATATCAAACTAAATAACAGTAGAGTTTTTCCGGACGGGTTACGAGGCGTCCAGGGCGATCCTGAAAAATTCAATCGTCGTATGGTATGTTTTACATATTAATATAATACATATTAATATAATACATACACAATATAATACACATTAATATAAACATATAATAGATGTAAATGTTCTCTAAGTTAATCAGCAATTATAATTTTTCCATTTGAATGTATAAATGCGTGGAATTATTTCTTTATAATCGGACAAGTAATCATATTTTTGATAAAAATAGATAGAAAATTTCAATATTGACGTCGTATTTTTAAGAAGCGACAAAGTCCATATAGTGTAATTGTTTTGTTGTAAAATGGCGAAGAAGAAAAACCTTGCATGCACATAATACTCAAACACCAAAGCGCAGCCTCTCCGATGCCAGTATGTTTCTCGTCCTCGTCATGCAGTACTGTTTTGGCGGCATAAATTACTGTTGCCATCGCGATTAACATGATGACATAAGTCGCCGCGACGCAGCCGAGCAATCGGTTATCGAACGGTTGCAAAAATATATCCCTCATTGTGCCAGTCTCTAATGGATGATAATAAATATTCCTCCTGCGTATATTGATATTGATTAATAATGAAGCAGTAAAATCATAAATAATAGACACAACTACATTTGTAATATGGAAACTGCGCCGTAACATTTTTATTTGTCGCATTGCGCTCTTTACTTTTTTCACTACTCGGACAAAAATGTTTTAAAGAAGTAATTTATAATTTTTGAAATATTCTTCGAATCTTACGTTTACCTTTAGCAATGCTTTACATAACTACATATAAATGAATTGTAAATCCAAATTTGCAGATAGTATTTGCATTTAAAAGAATTTTTTCAAGAGTTTAAAAGAAGTAATTTAAAGAGTTTTTTTCATGCTAACTAACGCGAAGTATAAATTATGTTCGCAACCGAGAAACAATAAAAAATGGAACACGGAACGATAAATTTGCATATAAATAAATAAGTGGGAATAAATTTAAAATAGATACGACGTCAAGTGATTATTTGTCGCCTTATTTGTTAATTCGGATTATTGAAATGCAATTTTACTGAAATCTGTTTACTTACATATAACGTATTAGTGGATGACTAAACGTCATTTCTGCCCAACGTTCCTCGTCGTTCGACGTTATGTATCCCAAACCAATGTCAACGGTACCTGTTACAACATCGCCGAGAAGGTGGCTCCACACTTTATTTGTTAATGTACCGAGTTTTTCGTGTGGCACCAGCTCGATGCTACAAAAATCCATCGCAGATTATTTTTATTTATCATTTTTAAATATTGTTATAATTTAAGATAACTCGTACTTATCTTCCATTTCACCTTGTTTTTTTACAGAAAATTATTTTAATATGTTAAAAGTTAACTCGCAAAATATTTACTACCGAGAAGTAAAAAACCGTCTTGGAATCGTCAAGAGACAAATTGTCGTTTTTCCAAGTTTCTTTAAAAAATTTGTACGGAATTTATATGAGATTGGAAAAAAGTATGTATTCATCTTTAGACATCTAAATAAATGTTATGTGTTTTATGTTATGTATATGTGTTTTTAAATAAATGTTGTTTTTTTCTTACCTGGCGTTCACGCTATTGGTAACAATAGTTGCAAAGTCCACAAGTGGCGCGATGTCACTTGCCTCGGTTTCGATAACGTCCGTCTGACCATCAGTGGTGCCGTTTAGCACACCAAAAACAATGGGTAGACCATTAAAGTCGCTTCTCAGCTTCACGCCCATGGGAAACTTGAGGGTGTGAGATCCAGGGTTCCAGAAACCGAGGTACCGCACGATGAGACTCGTATTATCAGAATGACGTATCTTATAAGTGTGCATCAAGTAGAAAGACACCGAGCGGTTCTCCAAAGTGGCGTAGCTCAGATTGATTGTAGCATTTTCGATGTTACGTCGTTCCGGTGGTCCCGTGAACTCGAAACGATCGCCGTATTGCCGAAGAGATCGACATATCCTGGAAACAATTTCCATTTTATTAACACAACGCAAAACGAGATTTTCGCGAGTACCGAAGAAATACATTTTTTGTAAATGTAACGCAACATATAAATGAAAAATAAACGTATTTAATAAGCTTATTTTAATTCCAGAATTTCTCAGAAAACTGATCACCAAAACTTTAGAGGATACCTACAGATTATTACAATAGCAGTATATATTTTCCATAATATACAACATAAGAATGCGTTAATTTACGACTTACTTGTCTCGGTATTTCTGCGCATATTTCCAAGCGACAGCATCATTCATCAGCGGCGAAGTAGCTACGACTACGTCGCTGTCGATACCGATATTTAGATCTCGGAGAACAGTGTCGATGGTGGAGTCGGTGTTTCTGGTGGTCACCATAAGCCAGGAAATGTAATAATTGAACAGAAATTTTTGAGAGGCCTGTGAAACACAAGTTCATAGATTAGTATTGATTATTGTGCGAGTGTGTATGTCCTCTAGAAATGACAAAAATTTATTATACAGCGTTATTTATTTTTTATAGAAAAATTGTTAAAGCTAATATTTTTCAAACTGAAAAGCATTGAAAGCAAATTAAACTTCAGAAATGGAACAAAAATTTATGTTAACGCTTAATTAACAAAAAAAGGTTGAATGTTAAAAATGAAAAATGATGGTCTGCTTTGACATTATTGTTAAAAAATAAATTATGATAAAAATTACGCTATACTTTCACTTTTTATTAATTTGGTACACTTTCTATATATTTAATGAAGAGCAAGATAACGATAAGAATAGTATAAATAACGAATGTTATTAGTATAATGAAGAATAAAATGATTACCTAAATTGGACTCAACTACAACATTTTTAATAGAGCAGAGATACGATCTAAGTATCGTGACACACATACAGGGTATCGACGCCGAAATATCCAATCGAGAAAATAGGAATGTAATTACGCAAATTTCTTTGCGGTGAGGAAATAATAAGGTGACTACGAAAGACTCGTTTCATTTAGTTATCATTGAACTCGATAATACGCAAGAGTCATAATTATTGTTATTTGTAAAACATTTTATAAATTATAGAATAAATAATAATTTTACATGCAATGTTTAAAGATATAATGGCAGTTACGCAGCAAGTCTATATAAGGATAAAAAATTCTACAATGTTGTTGAAATAATTTAGTTCTTTAACTTAATTTAACTTCAAGTCTGTGCACGTCTGTGATTCTGAATCTTTTGCTTCTCACATATAGATATTAAAATCATACCGCTTGGATAACATTATCAGGCGATGTCAGATTAAGTCCGTCCAAGAGTACAATCGAGCCGATGCGATGCGTTCGAATCGTAAGAGCATCTGGCAGATTCGGATTTGTTGCCGATTGCAGAGACACGCTAATACCTTTCTCGCCGAAGCATTTGATTAACGGCCGGGTGTAACCAAGGGCGCAATCTGCAATCAATTACTTTTAACATCTCAAATTAGTATTGGCAATACATATTACAATCAAGCAGCAACGAATAGCTCGATCGCATACAATTTTCGTCGCTATCATTTAAAAGAGCAAGCATTTTATTAAATTTGAAAAATTTTTAATTAATTGCTAAATTACATAAATTTTGAAACCTTTTACTTCTTCGCTATTAATAATAATCCCATAGAAACAGAAAAAGTGTAGAGTAAAAGACTGCTGTGTGACAATTTCAAATTGAAATAAAGTCGGCTATTATTCATGGCTCATTAACTTTCTAAATAAGCAATACAAATGGAAATGGAAATTCCAAGAAATGGAAATTTTTTCCTTATCGAATAAATCTCTACTATTGTGTGTAAATTCCCTATTTTCTATTGACAAGAAATACTTTACAACGTTACAATTTTTCACTTAAAGATCTTTTTGCGTTAATTTTTTACAGAATCAAATTACGCCTCCACGCATATTAACGGCGCAATTCATTATTCTGTGAAATTAAAAAAACTTGCTGGACTGGTTCTCACTTGTGTAAAAAAATAAGAATAAATTCACAATTGTTTTTTTTTTTTATTTAGTTAGTATGTCGAGAACACTCACTGAACGGACTGACATTATCAAAGAGGACTACTTGATCCCAAGATCGCCACTCCGCGTATTCTAATATCAATTGCAGCGTTAACGGTGACATAAGAATACAGGACTTTGCGGCCACATGCATCACCATTAACATCAGCAGTGTCAACTTCGCTTCACCACGCACACGCGATAGCATAATTCAGATCTGAAAAATTCATAATTCAAATGTTTATGGTTTATAAAATTGATTCGATTAGAATCCTCTTAGTCCTTAGAATATTGTACTTTGATAAATGAATAAATAACAATTAAAATAATGAATTACCCTAATATTGAATCTTGGCGTCACAATATAGGCAATTACATATATAATTAAACTTTAGTAGGATAACTGATTAATTTTTTTACCGATGACAAGCGATTTTAAGAGTGTAAGCATGATACGTAACCGTGAAGTGTGGGCGTCTGTTCTTCAAATTCTTAATTTATCGCGTATCGACGTACGGATATCAAACACGAAAAGTTTTTGACGGTAAACAAGATGAAAACTTGACATTAACGATGGAGAAAATAAAAATAATTCACGGTTTCGTGCACGTCACTCTTCGCTGATCGATACATAATACGTAATATCAGATATATTCCAATCTTCTCAACTCCTTGACACCAATTATTTTCTTCTACAACAATTATTTATATATAATTGATAAGTTCAACAGCAAGAGAGTATATTAAAATTATATTTTATAATATTGATCAACACTTTGACAGAGCTTTATAAATCATTTCTCTCAGCTACTTAATACACAATTCGCGTATTATATGAGTTTATTATTATATCCATTTATACTTATTTTTCTTATAGTAAAGTAATATTTTACGCTCTCGCAATAAGAGACGGAATTAAGAATTGCCCATCACGTACTGAAAGTTAATTTCTTTCACGCAACCATTTTGGTTCGTAGCCTTCGGGAAGATAGAGATCAGATCCTTGTACACAAGGGAATTAATTGTGTGAATAATGGCTGCCTTTTTGCCATTAAAAGTGATCTCATAGGGAGAAAAAAAGAATAAGTAGAGTAGGAATACTGTATAATAATTTCAAATTGATATGAAATTGGCTATTATTCGCCGTTTATTGAATTTCAACATAAAGTTCAAAAAGTGAAAATTTTTTCATAATGCATGATAATTCTTTACTACTATGTAGAAATATTATTTATTTTACAATTATGTACAAACAAAAATGCAACATAAATTAAAAATTCTTTTGCATTACTTCTAATTATAGAATCAAATAATCAATTTGCACTTTTATTATTCGTAATTCAAATTATCAGATTGTATATTAAAAATATTAGTGTATCAGCATGTGCGTATGTACAAAGTATGTTAAGAAAAATGATGTCTTAGAGATTACTGACGTCTCAGTAACATTTAGCAACAATTAATAAAGATTAATTATAATTTCATTTATATTCCTCGTGTACGTTTTCTCATGTTTCGAAAAAATTTCAGATTTTGCAATAATGATTGCATACTACAATGATTGATATACTGACCTTGTTAAATAATTGCCTCATCCGCTCACATCTTTATTCAGTTTTATTTTTTGCAAATATATGTTAAAATCATGTGTAACATATAATTAGATGACTGTTACACAAAATTTCACTTTATTGTAACCCTAAAGAACAATAGAGAACACAAATGCTGTATAATAACTTTAAATCTGCCTTTGTAATGTTTGGTTCGTACGAATTGTATCGATGTTAAAGCGGATGTATAAAAAATGTTTTGTTTTTTTCACAAAAACAGGTACATTAAAAAGTTTTGAACACAATATGTATTCTGCGTTTTGTTTTTATTGTCTATATTATAATTATAGCATAAATTTGAGTCTGTTACGATACAAATAATTTATGACAAAAATATCACGCAGTCACTGCAATCGTTACCAAGTTACATGTAATCCATTTATATATAGGTTTATCGATAATCTTATGTTTATCTTGTTGTTTTCTTTGCGTTATGCAAAGATACTTACATTATGCATGCTTAAAAAGCATGCATAAAGTGCTCCAAATTTGCAATATGCTGACAATGCAATATGCTGACAATGTGATTTATAAAAATGCATAGGCATGTAGTTTTATAAAACGGTGGAAATGTTAGGACAAATGATTCTCTTAGTCATTCAAACTTGTGCTTTTAAGAACGACTACTGGATGCGGAACAAAACTCCTAGGTATGAATTAAAGCTGAATCGGTATAATTTTCTCAAAAGATTCGTTTATTTGAGCTATGCAAATTGCTATATAAACACTTCATATAAATTGTACAAGTACGCAAAACTGCATATTAAAATATTTATCAATACGTAATCTTTTTTCTTTTGAGAATAAAATTGTGTTTGAAAACAATTTTTTGCAATCATCTATTTTAATAATTAACGATAACTTAATTAAATGGCACGACATAAATAGTTATTCATAAAGACACTGTCAAAACATTGACAAATTATTTTTAAAGTTTAATAAAGCACTAAAATGTAATATCTATTAATTTATATAAGTAACAAATTTAATTGTTGATTTGAAAATAAACATCTTTATTTTACAAGTAGAGGAAAACAAAGTTTTTAAATTTTTGGTGCAGCAGTTTATAAGCAAAAATGGCATCCAGTGTCTTGAGCACTAAGCCTGAAATATACACAGTAGAAGGTTCTCAAAAGGAGAAACCTTCGATTATTGCAAAAGTGACAGGCGACAAGAATGGCATTCCGAATAAAAGCGAAATCCGTACGAAGATTGAAGGATGGTTCAATTTTAAAGCAGAGCTAAAGTGGCTTAATATCATATCCATTTTTATCATTCATGTGATAATGTTGTACTCCTGTTTCACTTTTAAAATTGCCGAAAATTGGAAGACAGCTATTTGGAGTGAGTATTCTTTGAAAAATTATAAATTTGACTAATTTAATTCTTTTTCCGAGAAAAGACACTTAAATAAGAGCAAAACTTGATCTTTTAATAGACTAATAATTTTTTTCATATATTTTTTATAAGAATAAATATTTTTAAGCTTACCGATAATTTGATCATATATATATATCGTGCCTTTACTAAGAACACCGACGTTGCTCTTAATAAGTGCTCCGACTGACTGAAAGCCAATCGATGAAACATACTCGATCAAAAAGAGCTCACCATAAAAGCTTGACAGCAGACAAGCCAAGACTTTCGGTTCTATTGTATAACTTTGATTTAGCAGACGTCACGTCAATCTTCAAATATTGTAAAAAGAATTTACTCTCTCTCCCCCCTCTTTACCACGCGCGTCATGTAGAAAATACTTAATTACTTTAGAGTATCAAAATTAACAGCACAATTTTTGTAAAATTAAATGATTTTAATTACTATACAATTTATTTTTTAAATTTCTCATTCCATATTTAATATAATTCAGCATAATTGATAAGAAATTTTATTATGTGAAATATGTGCGATTATATTATAATTGTTACCTGTTGTTATCCATAATTTTATAACAGGATTAATTAATTAGATTAACTTTACTTGCTTAAAGTGTTTGCCATGGGCTTTATACAAGGAATCGGCATCACTGCTGGAATTCATCGTCTCTGGAGTCATCGAGCTTATAAAGCAAAATGGCCACTTAGAGTTATATTACTTATTTGCTATTGCGCGAGTGGCCAGGTAGAAAAACAGCTTCAAATATTTCATTCTTCTCAAAAAAAGTTTTTCTTCACAACAGTTTCTTGCAGAACAACCCTTATGACTGGGTACGAGATCATCGAGTACACCACAAGTACACGGACACAGACGCGGATCCACACAATAGCAACCGAGGATTCTTCTTCGCTCATGTCGGCTGGCTGATGATGAAAAAACATCCAGATGTGATACAAAAAGGTCGTCAGATTGATATGAGTGATACAATGACGGATTCTGTTTTCGTATTTGGTTGCAAGTAAGTGCGCATCAAAAAGTTACTAATCCTACTAAATTAACAACTGGAAATACATCTGCACTTTAGAAACCAAAAGAGAAAATATATTAATATTTGATTCACTTTAAGCATCTGCGGATTTTCCTTACAAATTATTACACTTACATTTATTTTACACTTTTTAGTTTTAATACATTTTTATACTTATCCTTCAGCTTTGCAAGCAATAAAGTTTTTTATAAAATAAACAATTCGAAGCATAGCGATTAATCTATGCTTTTTTGCAGATATTTTTTGATACTCAAACACATTTTCGCTTTTCTGCTGCCTATTATGCTACCTGTATATGCATGGAACGAGACTTGGTCCAGAGCTTTTGTATCGCAGATTTTTATTCGTTACGTCATCAGTTTAAATTTCACGTGGATGATTAACAGTGCGGCTCATACCTGGGGCTCGAAGCCATATAATGCGTAAATATGTAGTTCTATTAAAAATCATCATCTGTGTATCAGTAAAAGATAATGCCAAAAAATCGGTTAAGATTCTCGTTATTTTTTATCATATAAAAGAATTATTTCATATTTTTCGTTTTAACGACAGGAATATAAATCCGACGGACAGCAAAATTACGGCGCTTTTGACGTACGGCGAGGGATGGCATAATTATCATCACGCGTTTCCGTGGGACTACAAGACGGCCGAATTAGGCGGTAATAATCTGAATGTCACCATGCTGTTTATTAATTTCTTTGCTAGAATAGGGTGGGCATACGATCTCAAGCAACCATCGGAAGAACTCGTGAGAACCATTGTCATGAAGAAGGGTGATGGAAGTCACCCTTTGTGGGGTGCAGTGTCATATGAGGACAGTAAAATTAAATAACAAGGATACCTTCTTCAAACATTTGTAATCAGCGATTACGCGATTAAGATTTTATTTAGAGATATACGTTATTAATACCAAGAAATCTATCTAGCGCAACTTATAGAGATAAAAAATATGGCAACAATTCAGAAATGACAATTATTGACAATGTGATGATATATCATTGTCAAGGCAGCTAGAAAGAGGAAGATACAAGAGAAACTAACACATGCTAATTCATTTTAATCATATTTTTAATACACAAAAGAATACACAAAAGATCCTTATAAATAAATCTCCTGAATCTCAAAACTTTGTTTAATTGGCATTTTTTTCTAATGTTTCCAACGCTATAAATTAATATGTTATAATAAAACAGAAATAAATTTTGTACAAAATTGTTACTGTTTTCCCTATTAGAACACGGATCAGAACAGAACTATACTTATGCTGTTCTATAATAAAGCAGCAAAGTGGCATCAAGTCAAGATCTATAGAGAGAAGGTTACCTCAAACAAACCGGTTGTGAGCGAGGGACGATGAAGTAAGGGGGGAGCTAGAACAGCTAGTAGGCGAGGGGCGACGAAGTAAGGGGGGAGCTAGAACAGCTTGTAGGCGAGAGGCAACGAAGTAAGGGGGGAGCTAAAAACAGCTTGTAGGCGAGGGGCGACGAAGTAAGGGGGGAGCTAGAAACAGCTTGTAGGCGAGGAGCGACGAAGGGAGAGCACAAAAAACATCATTTGTAAAGTAGTAAAATAAAAGAAAAAATAGTACATATTTAAAAATTATTTTTAAAATAATATTTACTGTTTATATGCATTATTTACAAAAGAAATACTATAAAGAAATTTATTTTTTATATTTAATTGTGAAAACCTCAAAAATTGTCAAGAAATTGTAACTGAAATTTATAAATGTAAGTACAATTCTAGAATAATATAAAAAGCATTATACACAAATTTATTATAATACAAACTTAAATAATGAAATTGTAATATATGTTTCAACATTGCAAATGTGAATATTTATATGATAAAATTTACAAAG